AACTTCGTACATAAGTACATCAGTTCAGGTTGCCATACCACGTCAGCACATAGACGCAACTGTCAGTTCAAATCCAAGAGTGATAGCGATAGTAGAATTATTAGCAGCAATCGAGAAGATTAAGGAGCGAAGATATGATTCGAGAGGTATAATTCAGTGAGATAAATTTAGAAGGAGAAAGATAGAGATTAGGAGGAGTTCAGAAGGTTAGAATTAAAAAACACACAGAGAGTGGATGCATCTGCGCAACTGCAAACGATTTTGAGCCATATCGTTCAAGGTCTCTAACCATTGGTGACTTTCGTCTCGCGGACCCTAACCAAGTAGCCTACATCTGCCAACATGACTCAGTCCACTTGTCAGTGACTTCATGGATTCCTGCCATGTTTTGATCTGGCCGCCCCTAACTTCAAGCATTCATTGTTACACACTATTGCATCTCATCGTCGTCATCATCAACATTATGATTTTGATTCAAAAATAGATTTTCTTAAATTCTCAATAAATGAGTCCCATTTATGAATTATCACTAATGTAATGATAATAATAATAATATTAAAAAGGGTTAATTTTAAAAAACACTTGTTCATTCACTAGAATTATTCAAAATAGGAAGATTTTATTTTAATAGGAAAAGTTTATAAAAAATAATATATATCCAGTGAATAGAGAAACTTATCTAACCTATAATTTATGACTGTAATTTTTTTTTCGAATGGAAATATGAGTTTATTTTACCCCCGACCATGTAACTTATTAAATTTGAACAGTTTGATGAAAATATTGCTGTTATTATTATTATTAATATTAATATTATTATTATTCGTATTTTCTTCACGCATACAAATAAGTGAATAAGAAATGTAACATAACTAATAAGAATAATTAGGAAATTAGACAACAACAACAACAACCCTGTCTACATATCTCATTCCCTTTTTTAATTTATTTATCCTAGTACCTTAATGGGTCATTAATTTAATGACAACAATACTGAAAATTACCCTTGTCCCATGTGCAAATTTTTCCGGTCAAATGAAAACAAGGGCTCTCTTCAATCTCGTCACACAATTCACATTAAACAACAATTATTATAATCATTTTTTTCTGTTTTGAAAAAAAGCTGTGATTTTTTTTTACCAACTACTAGTATAAACAATCTATAGAGTTATTATTATTATTATTATTTAATATATGATAAGCTCGATATAAATGCATAATTGTACATAGTTCATTCTACCTCCGAATAGAGATGAGAAAAATAAGGGTAGAATTGAAATCAAATGTGATATAAGTGTGAATATATTACTTTTTATACGAAAAAATAAAGTTTGAATGTATCGCTTAGCTCTTAGAAATGATAATTTAACTCGATTTAAACAAGTTTAAAGCTATGGTTGTTGTATTATGTGAATCGCCTGTAAATACAATTTGAAAAAATTAATGGGAATTTTCCTTTTTTTTACCAATAACAATCCTCCTATCAGAGGTGTTCTTTTTCATTGAAAATTATAAACCATTGAATAGAGATGAAGCATATCAAATTATTCTTAGCTATGAGTTAATTTCATTGAAATAAAATACTCAGCGAAGTATAAAATCGAATAAAATAACTAAATATTTTGAAATGTTCACATTATTTTCAATATCAATGCAATTAATATAATAAACACAGAGAACTGTCTGCATACACAGCCAACATTTGTAATATACAAGTTATGTTATTTCATAAAAAACGAACACGGATTTCCTTTAGTAGTAGTAATAGATTATGTCACGCAATACTTGAGCAACCAAGAGAAAACAAGATACAGCTGTTTTTGTCTTTATCTTAAAAACATTCCCATAGGAACTAAGTTAAATAGTTTTGATCTTGATTTCTATTGGTTAGAGAGTTCACCATTGAATAAATCAATTCTTTGTTGTGTTTTTGTTGTACAATGGAGCATTTTACACCAGTTAGCATAGATCGATCAATAGATTCCTTTAGTTAAAATATAAGTGATTCAATACCAATAGTTTGTTCTCACTGACTGAAATCATGGTTGAAAAATGAAACAATGATCCATCCATGTCTTCAAAGAAAAAGGAAGTCTTATTGAAAAGGGATATTTACCCTAAAACTAAAAGTTAGTCATAATCAGTGCTATTGATTGCAATTCATTGATAGATAGTTTGTTAGGAATCATATGAAATGCACTGCTAAACTAGACCTCTAACTTTCTATCTAACACAAACTGTATCTGGATAAAGTTCCTCTTAACATCCTACAGTATACTGGATATTTCAGTGTTTAAATTAGATATAAAAATTAGAGGAGCTAACCAATAAAATGCAGTTCTCTTTCCAGAAAAGTTATATAGATCATTAACATAGTTCCTGGTCATACAATCATCTGCAATCTAGTGTTCAGTTCTTAACTTCTCTCAACCAATGAAGTGTATTGTTATTATGAGTTTGGTATTGGTTGCAGTCACCAGAATTAAGAAGTTTGATAAGTTTCTGACTAGAATAAGTGTTTTTCATGTTTCATTGCCTGTTACTGCTGGTGGAGCATAGAATTACTATTAGCAGCCTCTAATATATTCTGATCTGAGATCTTTCCAATTGTATTTAAGTGCTGTTCCCGATTTTCGGCACAATAAGTTCGTTGTTTCACCTTTTCTCTTTTGGTCTTCGAGACTTCAAGTTAGAAATGACCTCAGAACTCAGTTGAGTGATCATTAAAATGTGTCTCCTATCCAACTCCGACGCTTTTTCTGAATTTCTTCCTCGCCCAGAATCTGGTTTGTTTTCTCCCGTAGTAGGTTGTTGCTGATGGTGTCTTGTAGACTGATCTGCAGTATAGTGAACAGATATCTGTTAGTAAACACTTGTAATTCATGGATGATGGCTTTTATGGTTCAGCTGCATACAATAAAACAGTCGTGATTTTTGTATTGATAATTTTGACTTTGATGATGGTTGACAGTTGTTTTGAGTTGTATATGTTTCTCAATTGTAGAAATGCTGACTTTGCTTTGATAATCCGTCTCTTTACATCTACATAGGATCCACATCGTTTATCACTGATGCTGTGCAGGTGTGTAAGAGTTTCCACTCCTTCCAAATCTTATTCATCAGGTGCGATTTGGCTAGTCTATGTTGTGTTGTGTCTAAGGACCTTGATTACCCTTGAGGTTGCTAACTCTATGCCTCACCTCTGTTTTCTATCCATTCTTGAGACCAGGAATAACCATCTAAGAGCTTTAGAGCTAGAGTAGGCGTACTGGATTGCATGAAACTTAATGAATATAACCATTTGTTCAAAACAAATCGTACTTACTTACTTACGCCTGTTACCCCCGATGGAGCATACGCCGCCGACCGGTTTCTTTCAACCAACTCTGTCCCAAGCTTCCCTTTCCAATTCTGTCCAACTTTTGATCATTTTTCTCATGTCTTTCTCTATTTATCGGCGTTCCTTGACCTTCCTCTTTTCCTTTTGCCTTCAGGGTTCCATGTGAGAGCTTGTCTCGTGACGCAGTTAGCTGCTTTTCGTAGTGTGTGTCCTATCGACTTCCACCGCTTCTTCCTGATTTCCTCCTCCACTTTGCGTAAACAACTGTTAATAAACACTTGAATCTTCTTGAATATGGCTTCCGTAGCTCTCCAAGTTTCCGCTCCATACAGTAGAACTGTCTTCACATTTGTACTGAAAATCATGATTTTGGTGTTGACTGATATTTGTCTGGAGTTCCAGATAATTTTCAACTGTAGAAATGCAGCCCTTGCTTTGCCAATCCACGCCCTTACATCTGCGTCGGATCCACCTTGATTGTCGATGATGCTGCCCAGATATGTAAAGGTGTTAACGTCCTCCAAGGCATCTCCATCAAGAGTGATTTGGTTGGTGCATGTTGTGTTGCATCGCAAAATTTTGCTTTTTCCTTTATGAATGCTGAGACCTACTGCTGCAGAGGCTGCTGCTACACTCACAGTCTTCTCTTGCATTTGTAGTTGCATGTGCGATAGAAGATCCAGGTCATCTGCGAAGTCTAGATCGTCCATCTGCATCCTAGCTGTCCAGTTGATACCGTGCTTCCCTCCAGATGTTGACGTTTTCATAATCCAGTCGGTCACTGGGAGAAATAGAAAGAGTGAGAGTAAGCAACCTTGCCTGACACCGGTCTTCACCTCAAACGAGTTTGTCAGCTGACTACTGTGCACGATTTGTAGTTTAATCCATCACGAAAAACAAATCTACTCATCACTTAAATTGATTTTATCATTTTTCAGAAATGAATTTCTCGATGTACTTTTATCTTTTACTAGGTTGCTTAATTATACGGGTTATGTTCAAATTTATTTCAATCTTCTCCTCAACAAATTCTAAAGTTTCTTCAATTATATATCGTATTTATTAGCAAAGGTTTTCTAATAAGAAAATGTGATAAAAATGAGAACAAATAACATATTATGCACATGCAATAAACAACTTACTTACCAGTTACTTACGCCTGTTACCCTCAATGGAGCATAGGCCGCCCACCAGTTTTCTCCAACCAACTCTGTCCTGGGCTTCTCTCTCCAGTTCTGTCCAATGTTTGTTCATTCCTCTCATATCTTTCTCTATTTCTCGGCGTAATGTATTCTTTGGCCTTCCTCTTTTCCTTTTGCCTTGAGGGTTCCATGTGAGGGCTTGTCTCGTGACGCAGTTAGGTCCTTTTCGTAGTGTGTGTCCTATCCACTTCCACCGCTTCTTTCTGATTTCCTCATCCACTGGAATCTGGTTTGTTCTCTCCCACAGTTCGTTGTTGCTGATGGTGTCTGGCCAACGAATACGAAGTATTTTGCGTAGACAGCTCAATAAACAACTAGGAAGCACTAATAACATCACAATCTAATGAATTATTTTGTAGCTTTTCTATTATAATTCAATGCTAGCTGTAATTACGAAATGTAAAACTGATTTTCCTCATTGTTATTTGTAATATTCTATTGCTTTTTATGTTATTTAGCTTTATCGTTTGATCGACTGATAACAGAGAATCGACTTGTTTCACACTTGTACCACTGTCCATTTGATCTGACTCGAATTGAAGGTGAAGCTTGTTTACAAGTAAGTGATTGATAGAGTTAAAATTTGTGTGTCCGTTAAAAAATTGCCTATTAAGGTGTGTTTTCCATATAGTCGAAAGAAAACTAGCAGACATATTCCGCTTTAAGATTTGATTTATTTTTTTTATTAGGTGAAAATTTTTACTTGACATTTTATAATCCTTGTTATCATCCATTTGTCTACAAGTTATCAATCCGCTTATGTGCTTTCAAACTGTTCTTATAGATTTCTAAGTAATAATGAAAGGTAAAGATAAACTTGAAGGAAATTTTTATAACGAAGACTGGCATCTAATCTAGTTACTCTTGTAGAACATTCTGACTTTTAATTATACAAACTATGAATTATGTAATTTAAAAACTTTGTCTCATGATAGTTATACAGAAGTTCTATAAAACAAAAGATTTAGGCGTTTGAAATTTTTCTAAAATATCCATTAAGGATGATACTTATACATGACATATTAGATTTCTAGTTTGAACAAACTATAATTGACTTTTTAATGAATTGGTGATATGTTAGCTTTTCAAATTCATCTTGGATATGTTGAATAAAAAAGTTTATGAAGTCACCAGCTCAATAGTAGCTTCTAATTTAAAAGGGATATATTTAAGGAAAAAAAACACTCTGAACTGTTTAAAATCCGATCAAATGTGATAATAAGCAAACAACAATAAAAGTATGATAATAAGAGTGCTCATTCAGGTACATGAGGTGAAATACATAAGTAATGTGAAAATAGCAAACACAGACCAAATACCAATGATCGACTGCATCGTTTTGATCTCTTATTAACTTGATCTAGTGATTAATCATACACACTTTGTTGTAATTCTATTTATAGGCTTTAAATGGATTTATATTCATTATGTCGTGTGATGGTGAAGTATTTTCTGTATCAAGAACTGTGGAACATTATTTAGGTTTTCATCAGGTAAGTAATTCGTCAAATTATCAATGGGATCACATCTAAGATGAATAAAATATTCAAGTGTTTTTGTATTAACTAAGACTGGTTTCTTTTTTAAATTGTGAAACTAAAAAGATCTAGTCAAACAAACTATCACCGATAAAAATTAACCAAAAGTATATACTGAAGATTTCACATGTGCGGTTACAACCTGAATTCCAATCTCAATACAATTAACTGATGTGATTGAAATAGAATGATTTACACTGTTGACTCTGATCCTCACTGAGTTCTATTATTGAACTATAGTTTCATTACATGATTTATTGAATTCACGTATAACAGAGTTGAGGAAACTCATTTTGAAACCAGTTATTAAATGGAGCAGTTAATAAGTTGATCTCTGAAAACTGTACAATTACAAATAATGGTCATCACATATTAAAATATTCATATATACAGTCAAAGAATTTATTTGCGGATACGATACAATGCAATAGCGTCTGTGACAACAATAGTATAGTAGATATGCGAGCTAGTTTAGTTAATATTATAGATAAGCGTTGAAGATGTGTACAGTCTAGCGTGCAATCAATCTTAGTCGCCTATCTAAATTTAAAAAAAAAACACATTGCAAACTTGTCAGCGATATTGATTAACGATTCGTTAGTTGATTATTATACACAAACAAATTGTTAACCTCCCAAAAATACTTAGTTATGTTCATTTTTAATTTAATAAACATCTTTTCTAATGACTGATTCGATTTTATGAATGAGTAGGAAGATTTAAAATTACAAACTTTTACAAGTTATGAAATTTCTTTCAAAAGTTGTTAGAATGTTTTGTGATGATACAATGCTATTTAATGCGAATTGTAATTACTGAGAGATTAAGACAACCAGTAATTATAAGTGTCATCAGCTGATATAGATGAATGAAGTGATCAATTCTCGTTGGTAAATGAACTAAACTGAACCCTTATCTTTATACCATACACACACTGACAAGCTAACGAAGTGTCGAAACATGTCTAACCGTCAAAAGCAGAATATGAGCTTCAACTTATCTGAAATTCATTGTTTTTATGAGAAAATACTCATATAAACACTTAAAAAATGCAATCCCTTCAAAATTTAGCATAGACATCATCTCTAATAAACAAACGGTTGTTACTTGAACTTTGCAACTGAATGAATAATTCATTAAACTTTAAATCTACGGATACCTGACCCTAATCTCAGTATAATTCTGGTATGAAGTAGGAAAAAGTACACATAATGAATTCTATTGTAAATCACTTCTGCGAACATAATGCAGTGTCCAAATACACCAGAGGAATTCTCAAGGATGGTAAAAGTAACTTTATGTAAAATAAATTAATGTTTACAAAAGGCAATAAGCACTAATAAAATTTATTGTTAAATGATGATGAATATGCATAAAAACATGATTGTGCTGAATAAGCCTTTGATTCCAAGACAGTAATAATAATAATAATAATAAATTCATAATCTAACTGCAAATTCACTGTATAAGTATGAAACTAAAATGGTTAGATAACAGTGCAATATCTTTAATCGTTATCGACGGACTGACTAGTTATTAATTATTCATTTTATGATTTATTTTACTGAATGTCAAAACACACTGCATTCGTAAATGTAATTGATAAAAACAGGTCAATATGGTTTGTTCATGAACAGTATGAAAGTAATTATCAAGATTCAGTTACATATTATTCCTAAACTGTTATACTCGTTTCGAAGTATGTTTAAACCGTAGTCGAATAACAAGAACAAAACAATGAACCAGCGTCCAGGTAGGCTACTGTGGTCCGATTGTCCCAGTTGTACCAGCAAGAAGTCTTGATATAGTGTAGAAAGTGTATTCTAAAAACACCCAGCCAGCACACATTCCATAGAGACACCGCTGGGACAGTCACAAAAATATCACACTAAAATGACACAGTAACCAATCACATCCAAGGTTTTTCCTGGTGGGAAATGTGATCTGAAGGTCAACTGATCGGTCCATGAAATAGTTCCAAAATAAACATATTTATCAAGCGAGTTCTGGGGATCTAACATCCCCAACAGTATAAAAGTATTTATCAAGATTCAGTTAAATATTAGTACTAAACTAGCTAAACATCAAGTGTTGTATTCAGAAGCTTGATATCGACTTTATAAATGAACATAATAAATAGTATTATTTTTCCATGTATAATAAGAATTGAGTCATTTTGACATGTGAATAAATCTTACCGCATTTATATTTTCTATGCCTAAAGAATGGAATTCTAAATTCTGAATACAAGATAAAGATTATCAAAAAAGTGGAAACAATAAACTCATTATTAGAATTTTATTGATCCTGAATAAATGTATCTGTGACTTGGATTTCATTAGGAAAAGTATTATATAGGCTATCACCTGCCCAGGTGCAGTATCTTCTTCATAGGCATAATAGACACCTGCAGATTAGTTCACTTTAGACTGTCTTATATCTATATGATTTTCACGAAATGAAGTCATTCAGTTGAGGGGATTTTCTTCTAAAATACGGTAATTCTAGGTCAAACAATTATTCTAGAAATGAATATCACAGTGAAATGAGTAAGGTCAAGAGCTTATGACACAATAGCATATGTACGCTCATACATACATACATACATACACACACACCGGAACAGCTGATTTATAGAGGAGGAAAAATGTCTGATTATTCATGAATATTTATTTAGCACAGTCACTCTGTGAACTCTTCAATAATTGTATGGAATTTTTTTTGAAATTGATCGTGTACAGAAAACTCAGTCATTTTAGTTTTAAATTATTTTGTTCAATATATGCAGTACAACAATGGAAATTGTTTATTTGTTTATAGGTGTGATAAATTCTCAATTCTAGTATAAATGTTTAACATGTTAATAATATTACTTGTCAACTTGTCTGCTGAAAAATTCTCAATCTACTTGTAGGATATGATGTTTAATTCTATAAATTAATAATTCGTTATCTTACGAAAATAGTTATTTCATCAAATAAATTACAACAGTAAAATAATCTGTTCTGTCCTTCTTTACAGGCTGATATTTTGCATCAAAGTGTTTTAGAATTAATTCATTCAGAAGACAGAGAGGAATTCCGAAGACAACTGTCGTGGAGATCAATGCTTCCACCAGAGTTCCATTCATCTACACTACATGATCTGATGACTCCTGGTAAGTAATAGAAACTAAGAAGTTCGCATAGTTTATCATACAACGTTGTTATGTCAAGGAAAGGATTTTTGAAATATAATTTAGCACACTAGTCCCCAAAATACTATTCACTTTGTGAAATAACAAAACATTCAGCACACAAATAACTATCTACTACTAAAAAACCCTTTAGTCCCAAAACTTTCCAAACAATTTACTTCGCTTCTCTCTTTATGAAACTCTCATTCTCATAATTAACACTGTTCTTTTATGTTTATAATAGAGGACAATAATTGTTTTAATTTACCATTCATATTTAGTGATCAGTGTTTATCTATACACAAAAAACTGTTTACCGTTTTATCATCCTAAATGTTTGTGTGTTTATGATATTTCTTCCCTTATCCTCAACTATGATTAAACTAACTTCTTGTTATTACAATTAATATTTCTATAATTAAATCTCAAATCAGTTTTAGGAAACTGTTCATTACTAAATAAAATAAATCAGTTTTTTTATAATGAGTAGACATAATTTCTGAATCATCATTCTTTTGGGCAAATGATAAAGAGAAAGTAACAGCTCTTCATTTTACAGGTTATTTTTCTTCTAAATGGTGTGAAAAGTCTCCTTTTCATTCGTCTCTCTTCATAATAATAATCATCATCAAGGTTTTGTGTCAGCATATCATGGAATAATGTTAACATTATTTATGAAATGTATGCGGAAAATTATTGTTCTTAAAAGCTTTTTTTGTCACAAACCTCTTTATTTTTCTAAAAAAGAAATCATTGAATGAAACCCGTTTAGCTTTCTTTGTTTCACTAATGGATCATTGAAGTTCTGTTTTCATGTATTCAGTTATCAATTTGTGTAAAGCAAATCTGTTTGGTAAATTAAAAAAAAAAACAATTTTCTCTCCAATATTGGAAAAAAATTAGAAATATTTCGAGAATTTCATTAACGTTATATGTGAATGACAAGTTATTTGTCTAACTGACTAAAGGATTTAGTTCTCTAATAGAGTACCAAAAGAAATAAGTAAATTTATAAATGTTCTGCATTTTTTTATTATGGAATCATTAAGTAGAGAATCAGATTTGAATAAATACTAAATTATATGAATTTTTTTTGAAATTAATTTTATTTAGAAACGGCTCATTATTTAAAACGTCAGTTTACAGTACGATTCCGATGTCTTTTGGATAATACATCTGGATTTATTGTAAGTTGTTTGTTTAAACATTTAATTATATACTTACATTATTTCCTAAAAACCAACTGCTATTATGATGATGAGTTGATGAATTCATTACAATAGATGTAGTGAAATCTATCGCTCCAGCATCTACTGTATTCATGTATACTTACACTAATGAAGTAGTTACACTAAGTAGTAGTTAGAATTTGAAAAAAAATTTTTTCTTATCATATAAGCATGGAATATTTTGTTAGATTTACGATCAGTAGTTTGCCTTTACTGCTCAAATTATGATCAGAATAATACAACAATATGTTATAACCTTTTAACCAGTTTAAATCATTTGTGAATAAGTAATTAACGACAAAAAAGATCGAAATTCCTTTCTAGTATGTAAAGAGTTTTAGTTCTACTTTAGAAGTTTAATTAAATCTGGATTACATCTTCGATTAAAGGGAATAAATTAATATGAATGTACTTTGATTGGTGTTGATTATTCACATTAAATGTGAATAAACTGTAAAATGTTCGCTTGTAATTAATTTTCTTTAAAAAAGTTTATGTTTAATATATCCATGTATTTTTTTTCATGTTAAAGGTTTATCAGGTAGTTCTGTAGAATTTTCAAATTTCTAAATTATACAAGAATTATATATAATGTAAATACGTTTTATATTCTTAATTTCCTAGGAGTAAAAATGATTGTTATTAAAATGTACTAGTTTGACTGCAGGTAGTCTAGTAGTTGTACATAAGAATTATTTAACACATTTAAAGAATTTCTAACAATATTTTATTTAAAAATTATATTAGATTCATTACATACATATGTATATATTAAAAAATCTACATCACCTTCACTTTTTTACTCAAAATTTTCACTGATATACAGATTTTATTCGCCTAACTTTTAGACGCTTGAAATTAGCGGTCGTTTGCAATATCTACATGGACAAGCCAGAAGTATGCAGTTAGCTGTAAATTCTGAACAAGTGAATTCATGCACCAATGCAAATATACCAAACAAATATAATACATCTTGTTCTTATACTGTTTCAACTGCTAATCAACATAATTTACCGCCTCTTGGTCTTTTTGCTGTCTGTAGTCCATTAGGACCATTGCCAAGTTTGAATGGTCCACAACGTGATGCAACTTTTAAAACAAAACATCAATTAGATTTGACTGTTATATCAATAGACGCTCGGTGAGTTTTCTTTTTGTTGTACGTACATTTGGAACAAACAATCAGACAGTTCTAAATGAAATTTTATATAAAACAAATGCTTTAGAGCTTTTAAAATTAACTTCATGCTTAGTCATGAAATACCCATCATTTTTGAAGGTAATTCAGGAGCGTAGTATACTGAAAGACTGTTGTAATTGCTTCTTAATTTGTCACAAAGCTAACACTTAATTAAACGCATTGTTTTAAGCTGTACATGATTTTTATGGTAAAATTCAGGGTGACTCATTTATTTGTAGATTTCAGTTATCTAAGCGAATTCCGAACTAATGTATTTGCAGTTGTTGCAGAGAACAAACGAACAATATGTGAATGCAGAGTCATCAGTACACTCTTAATATAATACATTAGAGAAATATCAGTTCTTAAAAAGATTTTAGAAATATCTTACTGATAAATGATACTCTACTAGAAACCTTGAGCTCTAGACCTCTTATGAATTACGCTTTATGATCTGACAACAACTGGGTTTGAAAGATTACTTGAAAAGGGGATTTTCTAACTATTTTGAATTGCGTTTAAGCGAAATCTTCAACTCCAAGGACAGAGGTTATATTGTTTAAATTATTTTTTATGGTTAGCGTTTCTTTTAACAAGGTGGTTTTCTACAGGATGAGATAGGTTACCCTATACCCAATCCTACATCTTTATCTAAGTTCGGGACCGACAATAACATTGGAACGGCCCCAGGCAGATTTTCGAATCAATGTATATTGAATAAAAAAAAGTTGCAATTTCTGTGATATTACTAATAGTTAGTGAAGTCTATTGCAAAGATTTGAGTTAGCTTCAAAAGAAGAAGGTCATTCTAAATATTTTGTGAAATATACAATCCTTAACGTTCCTTAAATATTCATTGTCGATTAATGATTTTGTTTGTATATTCTTTCTTATAGTGCTCGACTTATATTCAATTACTCTGACAGTGACTTACAAAATTTCAAAGTCTATGATCTCATACATCCGGATGACTTGCGTTATGTTGCTAGAGGACATAAAGAACGTAAGTTAACTGGCAGCTTCTTTTCAGATGTTAGATTTTTCCTTTTATAGCCAACACATTCACAAAATGCATCATTTTGTACGAGTAAATATCGTTTAAGTGTACAAAAATATCTCAGCAGTTTTATTATGAATGGATTTTCATTTAAGTATTTAGGCCATAACCGGTCTCATATACGACTGGTGTATTGACAATGACTAGTCACAGAACACTACTCAGTTCCATAATTGTGTAGTCCTTACCGTTGATAAAATTCGACAAGCAGAAACATGCCACAGCTAAAAATATCCTCATACAAATTTAAAATTGATTTTATTAGTTTTCGTAGTTTATATATCAAGATAAAACGAATGGATTTTTCTGTACTGTTAGTTTTTAAAGTAGGCTCACTTGGCTTACTTGTACACCGATGGTTGAATAAACAATCTCAGTGGATTTGGCTGCAGTCACGAATAAAACTTATCATGAAAAATGGTAAACAGGATCATATTATTGTGATACATCGACAGTTATCGTAAGTTTCAAGTGGAATAATTTCACGTTTTCTTTTTTCTTTTTTTTGAAAACGCTCATGATCATATCAAAATGTAAATCTGTTTTGTTCATTCTAAAATTTATTTAAAATTTATTTCAACTATAAATTGTTTATTCAGAAGTATTGTTTTAATTGTGTTCATATTTATTCCGCGAAAAAAGGACTTCTTCGATTTTACTACCTATCTATTAGTGGTGTTGGGTTCTCTGAGATACAATATTTGATTACGAAGGTTTCATTTTCATTCTGGACAACATATTTACCATCCACTCCTTGTAAAATTGAACTTTCTAGTTATTTCATACATTTCATATGAATTCATTTTGATAGCCTTGCTGGTGATTGGGTGTCTTCATAAGTTCTGTTGCATTCATTTTCCTTTTCATTCAGAGTGAAAGTCTTTGTTTATTGATTTCTAGTCTTGTGACTAAGTCATATCTTTGCAGATTCAGAGAGTGGATTAGTAATGTTGTACCCACTGATTGATTATTGATCTGAGTGTTGTTCTCCTAGAAATATATCTGGTTTTTTCAAAATTTAACCGATCCAAAATGTTAACATCTATCCAATCGAATTCGTGGCCATGGTTGTCTGAATGCACTGATATCAGTGACAGCATATCATGTCGTCTTACTATTAATCTGTGTTCATATATGCATAGAGTAAAGTGTAACAGGCTGTTGGGGATGTTAGATCCCCCGAATTCGCTTGATAAATGCCTTATTTTGGTTTTTATGTTTGCGAGCATGGGCTGATCAGTTGACCTTGAGATTTCAATTTCCACCAGGAAAATCCATGGCTGTGATTGGTTGCTGTGTATTTTAGTGTGCTATTTTCTTAACTGTCTCGAGGACGTTTCTATGTAGTATAAATAAACGAGAGTTGTATGCTTGATTGTACTGTGATTGCTGGGTGTTTGTAGAATATACTTTCTACGCTTACAAAGCCTTTTTACTCGCTTTGGGGATTCAAGGTAGCCTACCTGGACGCTGGTAAAAGTCTCCTTCGCGTTTATCGACTAAGGAAAACTCGTAATAGCCTCAAGCATACTAAGTGACGAACCTAACACAGGCCACCATGATTCACTCACAGCCTTCTTTTGAAAGTTCAGCTACTACAATCATTTTTCGATCCATAATATATACTTTCTTTAAAGTCTAACATACTTTTCTTTCATCTTCCTCAAAAAAATAACCACAAAGAAAAATATACCGAGAACTTTAATGTTTCTTTGTGATTTTTTCAGCACTTAACACTGCAACAATTTACAACACTTTTATAATGATGCCTTGGTACATACTACTAAAATTCACAATTATTCAATTTAGATAAGTTTAATACAGGTATAATTGAATTGCAGTATTTGAACTGCTGCAAAAGAGATTACTCAAAACTGAATCGAAAAACACTAACAAAAACGCCAACAATCAGAAACTTTAGCTCGTCAGTAAGTTAAATGTAAATGATGCACAATGTAAACTCGCTAAATTCCTTCATGACTGTTGTATGCTTAAAAAACTTTAGTCGATAAGTCCTATGAGAATCAGTTTATTTCTCTCAGCTAAGCTGAATTTATACTGTTGGTTTATGTATGATTTAGTATAAGATGAAAGATTAACTGGTTGATTCTCATACTAAATAAATTTCAGTAGTCATGGAACAGATTCAATCAAGAGTGAAATTTCAAAATGTTCAATCTGATATCCACATTCGAATATTTTTTTTAGTTCTTACTTACTCCTGTCAATTACTTTCACACTTTGATACGGACATCTCAAAATCATTTTCTTTACTGGTGGCCGTCTATTGAGGTGGTTTCGGTAACGCATATAGTGTATCGAAAAGAACAACGGATTAGATAAAGCGAATGCCATAGAAGCTTAAGATATAGATACCGAGTTTGAATTGGAAAATATTTTGTTGATCTGACCCTGTAATAAATCAATATTTAGAATTTTCTGTCAGATCAATAATTATTCTCGAAAAATGAGTCTATGAAAGTGTTTTATTGTCCTAGAGTTAAACTATTTAGAAGATCTTAATGATCATACTGTTACCATTTTTATAAAACACCTTTAATTCATGTGTTTTATCTGTGAAACTGAGTATCAGATAATCTTCATTAATCCTCTACGATAAACTATTCGTAAGATTTATCGAATGAACTTTATTCAACACTAGAACAAGACAGAAAATGAATGAAAATATTTTTCAGTTATTGTCAAAAATCATAGTTGATTTTACTTAACACTCACTAATATCAATATCAACATATTTACTTTAAACATTTTAGAAATGAAGAAGGTATGGAGTTATTGATAAGAAGAACAGATGAATACAAACTGCCCTTTCCTTTACTTGAACCAGAAACTCTACTAAATGGTGAAGAATTGACAGCATGCAATACTAACTTACATATGGATATCAATTCAACTTTGTCAATTGACCAAATGAAAAATTTTGATCATCATCATATTCTTGGAAATATCGATCAAAAATTGTATAAAACAAATGTTAAATCTGACAATAAAATTAATTTAGGCTCAAAACATACACCGGAACATTTCTCTAATCTTGATATAGCCGGAAGAGTTCACAGTAGACACTCTAGTGATATTATGAACAGTTGTACACAAATAGAACGAGGTATTAATAGATCGACAACAAATAATTGCGATAATAATTTACACTTAACTGGAATAGACACTAATTTACTTAATCAGTGTCTTAATAAATCCACTAAACAATCGAAGGTTATTTCAACTAATGTTCTACGTAGAAAAAGGACAATGAAAGAAATCAGTAAATCTGAAGTGAGTAAATGTAAACTTAATCATCGTGGTTCGTGCACTACTGCATGCACATATGTGTCAAATGCACAAACTGCTGGTCAAATAAATTATGGTACCAACATTTATCAATCTACCTATCTTCCATTGGGATTTAATCAAACATCATCAAAAGAAAGCGGAACTTTTTACCGAAATCCTTATTTCTGTTGGCCAACAAACACGAATACTGTAGCACCATTGGAAAATGTGATTTCAAATAGATCAGATAACACAGAACACCTTCTTCAATATGATTCAAGTAAAGTTGGTTTACTCATGATAAATTCACATCATTCAAGTCAAAATTTAAATGAATTCAATATGCAAGATCATCATTGTACAACAAGAAATTATTCAACAGCATATGATGCTTATTCAGCGGCTGTAGCAGCAGCAGCTGTAGTAGCAGCTGCAACAAACAATTATAATCAGAAAAATAAAAGTCAAAATCATCACAATGTATCACTTCATCAACACTATCAATCACAACACACGTTAGATGAAGAAATAAAACAATATCGACGACATGGATTAAATTCATCACATTTCCTAACAAACCCTACTGAATCGAATGCTCTTCATTTTCAACAGACTCTTAATGATGCTAGTTTATTTGATTTGCCAAGAAGACAACAACATTCACAAATGGGATATAATTCATCATTACTTAGACAACAAGCTGTAGTATCTTCCGAGCATCAATCCTCACTAGACGGTTGTACAGATTATATTTTATCAAATAATTACTTTTCACAAGAACAATCAATCAATAAACATAGTTTAAGTAAGACTTGCCTACAACCGAATGATTTATATGTAAAAGAATTTCTAAAGCCTAGACATTCCGATTTATTGGATAGTTTTCACCAGCCACAAATCGATGCAAAAAGTGATAATTCTGACATAAGTGACAATAACAACAGTTGTAATAAATTAAGACAATCACTTTCATCTTACACATCTATGAATGCAAATCATTTATTCGCAGATGATTATAGAAATGAAGTGACATATGAACAAAAAGATACTTCAGAAAATATGTACTTACAACACAGTGTTGAACAGAGAATGATGTATACTAATCCAGTTATGGACAAAGAGTCTTCATCAACATATTCCTCTTATTCATCTCCACCTAATTTAACAAGTCCACATAATAACGAAATTAATTTGGAACCAGATTCTGGAATCAGTCAGAATCAACAGAGACCAATACCAACTTCAGCAATAGTAAGAATCCACAGTCAATTCGCTGATCCAAACAACAGTTCGTCGAATTCTTCAAAATGTCCTCAGTTTTATGATGCTAACTGCTCTGCAAGTAACTGGACTGTAAATCCTTCTCATACGAATTATAATCAAACAACAGAATATCTTTCTGAAGAACGCTTTTCAGAAGTAGACTGTGGAAAATATTATTGTAATCCCAGAGTTTTATCTCTCTCAATATCCATGGATTCATCGAATTCCAGTAGATCTCCTACACCACATGATACATGTATAAGTCAACAAGATAAGTTAATTAAGACGGGAACGGAAAGTGAAGTTATGTTTCCTCACAAAACTAACAAAACTGGTTCACGGTCATGCAGACTGCAATCAAATGATGATTCTAATGTTAAAATCCCATTATTTTCTGAAATAGATTTCGGTGATCAAAAGCAGGATTTATTGAATCCTCATATAGTTGGAGGTGAACGATCTGAATATGACTCTACGACAAGATGGGACGATCATCAGTAAGCTTTTGAACATGTTTTAAACAAAGTGTTTGCAGAAGAAAAATGAATCATATTGATCATATCCTAACTTATTCGTAGATAAAATGAGTTATTTTGTTAGATTATGTCAAAAAACTTTATCAATAGATCACCTAAGATACTAAAAAGATGTGATTTTGTGTGACATACAAAGTTACTTACCTCTAGAAAATACTAATTAAGTTCCATTGTATGGATGCAAGAAATCGTTATTATTTTTGCATGATTTGATAGTATACATAGTTTATTTAAAATTAACAGCATAGTCCATGCTTTCCAAATGACACTCTCCCGTAAATTATACCAATCACTGTCTAACTTGGTATGCGACCTTGCCTAGTACTCGAATGGGATGAAAAAAGCCAGCAACGATCAGAAGGAGGCATGATACCAGTTCATAAAATAATCACTGACTCAACCACATTTAAAAGTGCATACTACCTAGTTTTGATTCACGAACTAGTCATAATTTATAGGCAGAAACCTGAAATACAACATCTCAAAAAGAGTTACAGATATCTTTCGTGTTTTCTATTCTTAAGTTTTGAATATGGCTATATCTTTATCATGAATATTCATTTGTCTTATTAGTTTGCTATGTATATAGAGTTAGTAGCAGCTAGTTTTCATGAACATTTGTATCAATTCTAAGTTTGCTTGGAACTGAACAAACCAGTCAATGTTCAGAACATTTCATCATTACAACATAATACGATCAAAAATGCTTTTTTTCTAAAATCTACTTGTATGTTATAAATATTACCAGTCGGTTAGTAAGATAATAATAACTTTCTCCATCTTAAAATACTCATATACTGGTTATTTTAATTTTAGCTACGATAACTCAAAATCAACTGCCATCCCCGTACCCGTTGTATGTAGCGGTTCTTTGAATAGTGTTTCCGAGGAATCATCAAAGACAGTAAGTTATTTCTTAATGGTATCAACGAAAGTTGTCTACACAATTCCATTGTAATGCAGTTTTAAATTCATTTAAACTGTGATTTTAGATGAAATGTCATTTCAATAAATTAGTTTTATTTACCAATAATGTTACAAAAATAGGGTTACAACATTTATAATCAGTTTCGTTTTCCCAAATAAAATTCAGAAATATCGTATAAAACTATGAAATATTCTTTTGTCATAAGGACTGAACTTTTCCTATTATCCTAGTTTACTTAAAGGAATGACTTTAATTAGACAACTATTGGAAGCCAGGAAGCACTGAATAAGTGTTTCTTCCTAAGATGGGCTTTCTTAGAAATAAATATTCACGACTCCCCCGAGATCGGATCCAGGACCTTTATTCTCTCGATCAGATCAGTAAGCCCTTAATCAGTAGTATACATGTCTAACTACAATGATTTCGTGATATTGCATAATCGTGTCCCAGTGTCTTCAGTAGATAGAACAAATGAACTCCACGCGTCAAAAATTATAGAGTTTGGTTCACATGTATGTTTCCAGATAAAAAAAAATCAAAATGGTTTCTAATATTTGTGCATAACCCAAGCATATTCTTCCGTAACTGTCATTAAATGTAAGCTTAACTTTCCTAATTCTTTTTTTTTTAAACGGATAAACTTATCAAGAGTTTTTACGGTGCATCTAGAAAACAGTCTTAATAAATATAATCACAATAGTATTCGTTACAGTTCGGTTACCCCCTATCAGTTAAGCATTTAACATCGCGTCTAGATTATCTGCCTTGTATAATATACTCGTAAATTAATTTACTGTGAACGGTAAAAACAATGAAGCGAATGTTCACGGTTTTAAATGAAAGTTTAGCCATTTTTTAGAGAGTAATATGATGAACTCACACTGATAATGATGGCTTTGTTTTTATTTATGGATGTGTGTGTGTGTGTGTGCGTTTCCTTATTATGATTATTGACAATAGTCTAACTAAAATCCCATTTAATTTTTGAAGAAAAAAAAATTAATTTTTTTCTTTTAAATTTCTTTATTTTTTTTTATTCACTCGTCATCACATTCACTCAACATTAAGATCATATTCTTTTAAGTTGTTTTTGATTTTCTGAAAAAAAACTCAACTCTGAATTTCACTTTCGTTTATGCATTAAAACAAAAACAAAAAAAGAGGGGCTAGAGAGCAAGAGAAAACGTTTTTTTTCTTTTAGCCACCTGCTCATAGTTAAAAAATAACTGCGGATTTTGAAACAAAGTAAGTCTACTTAGAAAAAAAAACGAGTGGGGAAAAAAAGGGGATATAGAAATAAATTATGAAATAAATGATTGACTGCAATGAAAAATGAAAAATGAAAAGGTCTGATGAAATTCGTATCGTTTCACGCTTTGTATATTATCTTCATAAAATCTTTATCGAATTGTTAAATAAGGTCATCATCATCATCCCAACTTGCACACATCCATTTGACGTAAGGTCTACAAACAGTTTGAACATTTTTTTTCTTGAAAGCATTGAATAATTTATGCCGATGATTTTAAAGCCATAAATCTATAAACATGAAATAAATAATTCATAGTGTTCTTTCTATTCAAGAAACATAATTTTGAAGAGGAAGACTGATGCTCCATTTATATTCCTCAAAACACCAACAGAAGATAATGAGAACAAATTATTTAAAAATCAATATTCCATTTTTTTTTAAAAAATCTATTTAACGTAAGTCAGACAGATGAATTAAAACAGAGTAAAAGACATGTACATACGTATCTTCAGATATAATTAAGATCTCGATTTTTCACGAAGCTCTGTTTCCATTAATATATCCTGTTAAAACCACATGGTTTTATCTGCTCAACAAAAATGAATACCACTGAAATCATTAGTCTCACAACATTATTCAGATATACAGTTGTAAGATAATTTTGTGTTGCTGTTGCAACGAACATAATTTACATTAAATTACGACTCTTCAGTTATGACTTACGTGATGTGTTATACATCCTAACAATTAAATTCTTCCTTTATATATATATATATATATATATATATATATATATATATATATTTCTTACTTCAATTTATCAAAATATATAAATTTCTAATTTTGTTCATTACTTATTTGTTTATTGATAGATTTCAGTAAATACATCCGAAATACATACAACATTATCCGATTATAGAGAAGGACTTTTGGGTGCAACTTAATATCTACGAGTAATCTGTCGATAACAAGTAATACCATGACAATATGAACATGACAAGATAATGCCTACTAACTATGGCCAATCCATTCAATCATAAAATGAATGTTGTGTAAATGACGATTGAAATTATCATCAAATTATGCCAATTATGATTTTTTTTTCCCCTTTAGTTTAACAGTCCATGTTTAATTTTGTAATTTTTAATCCATGCGTAATATCTTTTTTTCTTTCGTTTTGCCAATATTTCGATTGATTTATTTATTTGTTCGTTTGTTTCCTTCAACATTGAATCATTTGTTTTATTAAATCATTGAAGAAAAAAAGTACACAGAGAATTGTTTTTTTTTTCAAGTATGATTTTTGATGATAAACCATTCAGTTTTTTTTTTGTTAATCATAAGAAAAAAAACGAAGAGATAAGTTATTGAAATGAACCGAATTATTGTTTGTAGACAAACAATTCTTATGAAAAAAATATATATATTAGAAATAATTGTAACACTGACAATTACATGTACTCAGTATTATTGATTCATTGGAATTGATAAAGTGAGAGTTTGATTCCTTTTTAATTCACTTCAAATATTCTTCTAAATGATTAAATTTTTTTTTTGTGTGTTTTGTTGATATTCACTATTATGTATACATTAACTGTTGCCATCATCTTCTTTAATGCTAAATGAGGGCATTTCCAATAATGAATAATCAGTGTTGTTATTTATTTTAGCTGACAGAGAGAAATGCTATTCATACTGATCGATTATTGGATAAATAATCAAGTTCATGTTTGTCTAATGATTTTAGTGTTCAACAAATTACATATTCTAAGTTACATTGTTGATAAGAGTTTTACCAGTTAATAATCATTAACAGCACACTTATACAAACATAATATGCTGTTGCTCCCATTGAAGTTTGATACTATTGCGCATAGGATGAAGACCGTGAACGTTACCATTTAGTTATTTAGTGACGCAGTGACTTATTGGCTTAAAATATTTACATTGATTGACCATTGAGTAGTATCTAAAGTTATATTTATCTAGTCCTATGTGTAGAATAAGTTCTGTCTGTCAAGTTATAATGTGGCCATTAGTCTAAATGGAAAATATATTTGATATAAAAACAGCTTATACCATGTTCAATTGGATAGTGTATATACAATGTAAATGAATTCTATGGGATGATTATCTTAATAGCTACTCACTTCAAAAATAGATTTTATAGATTTAAGACAACATGAGAAGAAATCAGCATTCATTTAATAATTAATCGTCAACCTTTGAGAGAACTTTTACAAAATTTCGGTCAGTCATTTAAAGATCAGTAAATTAGAACCTGGGACAAATCGATACGGGCTTAATTAGAAGACAATGGAAACAACATTATGACTAAAGCTTGGGCATTTATTATCTAAAAAGGACTTTAAATACTAGATATTGTTATATCAGTGATCAAAAGTATTTAAAGGAAGTAAAGTCGTAATCTGTTAAATCCACTACATTTACAGTTAATTTGATTTTTGAAGTTCTAATGAACATATATCAATAACTAACCGATGACGCTGGACAGCTCTTTATCATTCAAATTGAAAATATAGACCACTAAATTTCAACATAATGCTTTGAAGACCATCAAAAACTGAGAGTTCGCGATTTTATTTCATATGTAATCTTGGATGTTTTGAATATAAATAATAAGCTGCTTAGCACTTCCTATATTTCGATTGCTTTCCGGGAGGTATGTGCAAAGGATTCAACCAGGAGAGTTATAAAATCCTGATTTCACACGGGGTTCGGAATCTAATGTTGCTCATAGACTACCTCGAGGCCAAAACTGCTAAAGTTGTCCTAATACCTTGTGGATTATACCTATGCGTTAAAAGCGCTTTGAGTAAACTACCTACTTTAATCTGGGCACCTAGGCGGTATCCGATCCTTCACGCTAATTCACTGGTTTATATCTAAGTGTCACTTTTTATACCAACAATTGTATGTTTAAATAAACTGAAGTATGAAAATAAATGTTAGGTTCTTCACCAAGTATGTTTGAAGCTATTACGGGTTCACCTTAGTCGATAAATGCGAACGAGACAATGAACCAGAGTCCAGGTAGGCTACCCTGATCCGATGACTAACCAAAAAGTCTTGATATGGTGTAGAAAGCATATTCTACTAACACCCATCATCATACACCCATACATCATAGAAACTTCCTTGGGATAGTCACAAAAATTGCACACTAAAATACACAGCAACAATTCACAGCCAAGGACTTTCCTTGTGGGAAATGAAATCTCAAGGTCAATTGATCAACCCATGCTCGCAAACGTAAAATCCAAAGTAAGGCATTTATCAAGCGATGTCTGGGGATCTAACGTCCTCAACACCAGACAAGCGTGATTCACTTGATTAAAAATCATGTAAGTTGTAAGAGAAACAAACATTTAATTGTAAACTTATCATGGTTTTATGCTTATCTCGACATAATACCTTATTTTATGTCACAAATATCCACAAATGACATGAACTATTTAGGTCTAGTCTCAAATAAGACATTTCTAAATGATCTAAATCTTATAATTGAATGAAAATAAGGAAAAAATATGTGTGTTTTTCATTCAATCAGTTTACATGAACTCATTTTGTGTTGTTTCTTGTCTATGTGAGCAATAAGACATAATTTTCGCTTAACTATTCAACTAACATTGTCGCCTAAATATTTGAATTTATTTTTTTATTTTTTGCTAAAGTTATTTATTAATTTTCATTGCTTATTTTTTAATCTTTGCAAATTATCTCAAGAAAAGTCAATTAAGGCAGATGAAAAAGTGAAACAAACAACTGAAACTCAAAGTTGTTTTCTTTTTAATTTTATTTTTTGTTCAATAATAAAAAAAAAGAAAACAATGATAAGATTTTGAATGCATTTGCTTGTTTGTTTTTTGATTTTTCGTCTTCATACGAACACACTTGAATAACAAACACACACACACACACAACTATGCATGTATGTATGTATGTGTGTGCATAAACTGATTTACACCATACACCAGATGTCTCCTATATGTATGTATATAACAGCTGAAAAATAAACAAACAAACAAACAAACCAACTAGGGTGAAAATGTTTTTTCTTTTCAACTGATTCTCAAAAAACTTTAACACCTAGTTGTTTATGTGTTTGTTATCTAGCGATAGAGTAGCTGTGACTTATTTTGTTGTTTGTGAATTTTTTTTTCCAATAAATAAGTGAATAATATCAAAAGCTCGTCGTTCTTTAAAGATGCACGACTGATAACCAGATTCATTGAAAATATTCGTGTGTGTGTGTGCGTGTGCGCATATGTTTTAATGTGTTCTATTCTATTCTTATTTGTTTTTTTTTCGCTCGTTCTTCTTCATCTTCTTTATTAATTTTTTTTAAGAAGGGAGGTGAATTCACCATGGCAAAAAAAAGAGAATAAACTTGATGAAATTTTTATTCTGTAGAGAAAAAAATTCAGACTTTCGTGTGTGTCAAGTTATTTCTATATCATCAGCTTACAATTAACTACTGATTTCACTCATATATATATATATATATATATATATATATATATATATATATATATATATATATATATATATTTATATATATATATACATTTGTGTATAAGCGAGAGAAATATATCAACGCCTTAATTCTGTTTTTTTTTTACTGAAAGCGTTTGAGAAAAGATAACAGTTCAAATGAACTTAGATTTAATACCAACCGTGAAATCATGTTCGCATTTTAAAATGGCCTACCTAATTCATTTCAATCGATAGCAAATTTATGAACTTTGTTCTGTGACGTAGAAGTTTGCGAATATTTACAGAATCATTCACATGATAACAACTAATAATATTTGATATTTTATACATTTTTTGAGAAATTTATTTGTAGCCAAAAGGCGGTATGAGCTGAAAATAAAGTGAAAACAATGAATCAGTATTTTGCTAATGTTTGAGATACTGCAAATCTAGGTTTGTACAACTATACACCTAATTTAAACTGTAGTCGTTTGTTTAACTTCAAGGATTTCATGGAATTCCAATGACCAACAAGTTCATCCAAATTAACAGCAAGATCTTAACTAGTGAACATTATTGTTCTAAGCTAGTGTAATATGAGCAATGGATTGAATCAAACCACCCAAAACCAATTCAGTAGTTCAAAACTATCATACAAATTCAGCTAAAAATTTTTTTGGATGAATCGCTTATATGACCATAAGTCTTTATACAATGACGAACTCACTGTTGAATGCTTAGCGGATTTAAGCAGTTTTCCAGCTGATCTCAGTACACACTGAAAATTCTCTCAGAAACTATGAAGTCACAAATTCACTTTTTTGATGTTTAGCAAATAAATTAATACGCCTGTTTGTCGCTCATCCTGACTGAAATTTTCCATAGACATCATCATCGATGTGAAAAATATATCCAGATCTCTTCAAATATATCTGTTTATCCATGTTACATAAATGTTAATATGGTATGTTGCTGGCAATTCTTAGTGTTAAAATTAAAACCAACTATCAATTTAGTTAAGGAGTTTAATAGTAAAAGAGAGTACAAATTATAAACAAATTGTATGACTTTTGTTTTAATATATCCCACATTACTATTTTCAGCAGTTGTGAGTATATTTGTATCAAATTATAACTGTGTCCGACAAAAGTAATTTATTCCAACATACTCATCGCAAAACTAACTAACAGATTAAGCTGCAAAAATGAATTGTCAATAGAATCTAGTTACAATATAACAAATTTTGTAGGAACAATTGGGAGTAAAGTGACATTCACCTCTATATTCACCTCTAGTAATATATTTCTATATTCATTTTAATCATGATATCAAATAAATGAATATCTATCATAGGGTTAAGATAGATACAGTACTTTGAATCAGTAATGTACTGACCTGTTGGCATTGTTTAGTGTGATATGTTCACTAAAATATGGCAGTATATATC